AAGACCTTAGACAGTAATGAGAGAGAGAAAGGCAAAAAGTACTACAAGTTCTGCAAAAAGAATAATCATAAAATTGAGGAATGTTGGACCTATAAGAGGAAGAGTAAGGAACTGGAGCAGGGAGGTGGACCACAGACTGGATCACACAACAATTTTTTTTATAAAGGTGATAGATTGAATTAAAACTAAAGCAAAAAAGGTTACTGGTACAAGAAGCACAAGAAGTGCGGACCAAACCAAACCTACCAAGGAAACTAGGCCCGCCAGAAGGCCCCTGTTTCTTCGTAGGCCTGCAAAACCAAAAGTTAGGCGAGAGGTGAGAATTGCTTAACCAAAGACGAACACAGATCCCCTGAAGAAGAAAAAAAGGAGAAAGAAAGAAACCCCCCCCCCCCGGGCAAGAGTACGACACGCCGCAATCCATGAAGTACCCCCGGCTCCGTCTGCGAGAAATCAACGGCGTCCGACCTTGCAACACACCAGGAACGGCCAAGGCCATGCTTACTGCTCAGCCAGCATAGGTCTAATCCAACCAAGGCCTTGTTCCCTACTGATTTTACCATGAGCGACAAGCCACTCGGCCATCGATCTCACCGTCTTTTGTAGGCTCAGTATCTCAGGGCAACTCCAGTGGAAGTGAATCTCCATAAGAGGTCAGTTATCACAATGACAATAGTGGGGTAAGTCATTCTTCTCTTGGTTTCACTCCAAAAGAAATGAACAAGTTGAGATACTTGCTGCATTATGGTGCTAACAATCTAGCCCCTACAAATCACACCACGTCACCATCACCTCCAAACTCACCTTCAATTCAACACCAAGCTTATTCTGTCTCACAATACTTGCCTCCATTTCCAAACTGTTCAGGTAAATATGTCTTGTCTTCAGCCATAGACATTAATCCTATAAACCTGCTAGCTTGTGGATTCTAGACACTGGAGCATCAACCCACATTGCGTGTTCTATAGATCTGTTTACTGGACATAGACAAGTACATGACGTTTTTGTGCATCTACTAAATTCTGCAAAAGTTATAGTACCATATAGGTACTGTGAGGTTACCATTTGGCCTATACCTATACAATGTACTTATAGTACCTAGCTTCTCCTTTAACCTTGTGTCAGTAAGCAGACTCGCACATTATTTCCCAATATCCTTACACTTTCACTCTAACCTTTGCCATATCCAGGACCTTCTAAACAAAAGGACGATTGGTTTAGCAAAATAATTTAAGGGCCTCTACCATCTTACCTTCACAAATCAGCCACCAAATCAACCAACTACAAGCCAAAGCCAAGCTGCCAGTGCTTTCAACTTTCACCCTCAACAAGTAGACCTGTGGCACTGTAGATTATGAAACCCTAGCAATGATAGACTTAGTTTGTTACAACACATTGATTCTACTGTACCCCCACTCTAAATTTGATCATTGTAAAGTTTGCTATTTTCTAAACACAAAAGTCTACCATTTCCAGTTAGTACTACCAATGCAGATAGGCCATTTCAGCTTGTTCATGTTGACATTTGGGGACCACTGTCTGTTATGTCTTATGATGGATATACTTTTTCCTTATAATTGTTGATGATTTTCGAGAGCTATTTGGGTGTATTTGATGCATTACAAAAGTGAAACCAGGGAGCTTCTTAAGGGTTTTGCACATTGGTTAAGAATCAGTTTAGTACCACAGTTCAAACAATTCGAAGTGACCAGGGAAAGAAGTTCAACATGTGTGATTTCTTTATGTCTGAAGGGATTGAACATCAAATGTCTTGTGCCTATACTCCAGAACAGAATGCTAGAGTACAAAGAAAACACCAGCATATATTAAATGTGGTCAGGTCATTGAGATTTCAATCTGGGATTCCCTTAGAGTTTTGGAGTACTGCATCTTACATTCTGTTAGGTATACCTCCAGGGATCAAGGGTTACAAGCTCTTGGATATCAATACTCAGCAAGTTTTGGTATCTAGAGATGTTGTCTTTTACGAATCCATTCTCCCTTACCAAACTGAGGCTTCCACCTCACCACCTTCTTCTCCAGACAGTTAAAACCCTCCTCCTATAGATCCTGATCTAACCATTCCTAGAACTTCTAATTCTCAACCTCAACTATCTACTGTACTAGTCTCAGTTGATGAGGGGATGTAGGGATTGATACTGAAGTGCAAGACATGGTTGAGTTTGATCCAGAACTGGAACCTCAACAGGACTATGAAACACCAGGAAGACCTAAAATGAGTTATCATTTTCCAAGTAAATATGATGACTGTGAATTAGATCTTGCCTTGAGGTTTGGAGCTTTTGGTATTAGTGCATCTGTCAGTAGGTATCCCATTGCATTAAATGTGGACCATCTGAATGCTGCTGACAAGATATATGCTCTAAGTGTTATCCAACATGAGGAACCACTTACCTATCAAGAGGCCATCAAGCATGAGCATTGGAGAAAGGCTATGAGAGAGGAGTGGGACTCACTTGAAGAAAATCAGACCTGGGATATAGTCCCTTTACCTGAAGGAAAGAAGGTGATAGGTAACAAATGGGTATATAAGATCAAATTGAAGCAAGATGGATCCATTGAAAGGTTCAAATCCAGGCTGGTAGCAAAACGATACACACAGGTCTTTGGAATTGACTTCCTAGACACTTTCTCTCTTGTGGCCAAAATCAACTCAGTTAAGGCCCTACTGGCAATTGCAGCAGTAAAGAATCGGAACCTGGAACAAATGGATGTCTCAAATGCTTTCCTCCATGGAGACTTGAATGAGGAGGTTTATATGTAGTTGCCACCAGGATTGGATTTGGAACAGAGTGGATCACAGAAGATGGTCTGCAGACTTAAAAATCCTTGTATGGCTTGTAACAAGCATCCAGGCAATGGTTTGTCAGGCTAAGTAGTTTTCTTCTGAAGAATGGGTTTAGTCAATCTGCCTCTGACTATTCCTTGTTTACTAAGTGGATTCGTGGCAGAATTGTGGTGTTACTCATATATGTGGATGACATCATAATAGGAGGAGATGCCTTGAAGGACATAGAACATGTTAAGAAGGGTCTAAGTCAAGAGTTTAAAATGAAAATACTTGGCCCTTTGAAGTATTTTCCGGGATTGGAAATTAACAGGACATCAAGTGGGATAAGTGTCTGCCAAAGAAAGTATTGTCTTGAATTGCTAAAGGAAACATGTTATCTGGAGTCTAAAGGGTACCAAACCCCAATTGACCCCAAGGTGAAGCTGTTTTCAACTAAGGGAACTCCACTATCTGATTCTGACTTCTGAGCAGTATATAAGATTGGTGGAAGGCTACACTATGTCACCATTACAAGACCAGATTTTGCCTTTGTTGTCCAGCAATTGTGCCAGTTTCAGAAGAAACCTCACGAGGAGCACCTACAAGCAGCTCATAGAGTCCTAAGATACTTGAAGAATAGACCAGGGCAAGGGATTCACTTTGACTGTGGAGCAGAACTGAAATTCACAGGGTTTTATGACTCAGACTAGGCAAGTTGTCCAGACACAAGAAGATCAACTACTGGATACTGTACTTTCTTAGGAAGTTCCCCTTGCAATCACAATCTTATGTGATAACAGGTCAGCCATACACATTGTTGAGAACCCTGTTTTCCACGAAAGAACCAAACACATACAAATTGACATTCGTGTGACAAGGGAAAGGATTAAAACTGGGTTGGACAGATTGCAACATGTGAATACAGTGAATCGGCTTGCAGATATCTTCACAAAGGGATTGGAGCAGGCACGCCTCAAGGATTTGCTGGTCAAGTTGGGAGTCATCCTGCCATCTACAACTTGAGGGAGGGTGACAGAGTTATGAACTCAGGAGAATCCGAACTGAAAAAGGATTGCAGGAGAAGAAGGTTCGAATGCAATTTAACTGATGAATAAACATTTCTGTATGCAAGGCGTTTCATAAAGTGAAGGCTAAACTGATAGTGGTGCAACGCACCATTTTGTTTACAAGTAGATTAATCGTTAAAGATTATTGTTAGTGTTTAAACACGGCCAACATAAGTGTAATACATGGCAATCAACTATAATCCTAATTACAAAATTGGTATAAAAGAGCAGAGTAGCAGCTTGCTACCTCTGTGATTCTCGACTACATTTCTACACTAAACCTAGAACTTCGTCATGGACAGTTGAATTTTACAGATCAGTTGTTGTCGGCTTGCGGAGGAGAGAGGCTCAGTGTGTTCTTTACGAACTATGTGGAGAAACGTGATCCTTGCTCTTAGGGCTGGAAGTTTGGTACCGGTATTTGGGATATACCGAATACCGTACCGAATTTGTCTATATTTATTATTTCTTGGGATTGGGATTGGGATTGGGATTGAATTTCAATTGTTATTCGGTATTAGGGATTACGGGATTGTGATCGGTATATACCGAAATACTGATCAATACCGAAATATAAGCTAGTGTATATTTTATCCTCTCAACTAGACTATCTCATTCACTACTACATGACCCTCAACCACCAAGAGTGTCATTTAATTATACAGATCATTCCATCATTATTAATAGCCGTCTCTCAACGTCCAATTTATCAAATTAAAGATTACCAATGACAAGAACTTAAGATGTCTCCTCTCCTCCATTCTCGTTTATAATATCCTAATTCAACACTCTTTGCTTAGTCATTTTCCCTAAATTAAACAATAAAATCTAATTTATATATTTAATTATTAATTGTAAAGGTAATTAATTTCGTATTCGATAATACCGATTGGGATACTGAAGTACCGATTGGGATACCGAAATTATTTAGGGATTGGGATTGACTTTAAGGTGTAATTCGGTATTCGGGATTTCGGTATTGGGATACCGATACCATACCGATTTCCACCCCTACTTATTAAGGAGAGAGAGAGTGGACAAGCATATACAGGTTTCTTTTGCAGCTTTTTCTAATATATGCATGTAACCGCCATTTTTATCTGATGGAGACCACAGCCATAAACATTATCACACAGAAGAGAGGAGAGCCATCAGGAGACAATCATTCACAGAGTTATGAAATGGGCAATGATCCTGAGAATCCGGTGGCGATGAAGCGAGGACGGGAGGACCAAGCGGAGCGGCGACAACCGCCGAGCGCAGGAGAAGGCAAATTGTTTTTAAGTTACAGTATCTGGGGTTAAGGGATAGTTGTACAATGATTGACAAGTTTACTACTTTCCCCACTAATTCTCTCTCATCCCTCCTTGGTCTTTCACTTCTATTCTATTGATGTAGAATACCAGGGGAACCCAAAAACAAAAGAAAGAAGAAGAAACTCGCTACTAAATCTACATATGACCGACTCTCACCTTCAATCAAGTTGTTTGCCTTGCTGCAAACCGCCCCTTCTAATGAGCAATTTCTTTGCATTAAGGTGGCAGCTTGCTTAGGTTACACACCATGGAAGAACCCAATTCCTCATCCCTGACCTGACTTTTCCACCCATGGATTGACAATCCAAAATTTATAACAGAGCTCTTTCAGCTGTCGTACAATGAGCTTTCCCCAGGAGGGATCCATAAACACTAATATGGGGAAAGGGGGAGAGCTCAAAAATTATCTCCATTTACTTCATCTTTCATCAGTATATTTGGGCCATCGTCGAAACCAGAACCTGGAGCCATTTCGTTTAGATCGAGGAACTGTGTTTTCTTTACCCCATCAATCTCATCATCTTGACCACCTGCCAGCGGTGGGCTACTTGATTTCTCAGGTGGCTTACTTTCTTCTTTCACGGTCATTTCAGAGTATCCTTCCATGTACCCTTCAACAGGCTGCTGATCAACTACTTTCATATCCTGTTCATCATCGTCATCACCATTCTCCACCTCTTCATTACCATCATTACCATCATCATAGTCTTGAGTTCCAGTTGAGAACTCTCCATTCTCACTGGCACCAGAGTGGTTATCACGTTGTTTTGCAGCTTCTGGTTCTGAGTCCGATGGCTCGTACTGCTTGTAATTAATCCGGTTTCTTGTAGACCTTTTGCTGCGTCTTAAACCTGACTGAAGATCCTCGACCGACCTCAACTTGGACTCTCTCCTAGTGCGCCCTGCTGCTAACTTCTTGAATTTGTTATGAGGATCATCGCTCCCCTCATCACTAATACTCAAGGAATCCTCCTCCTCCTCCTCTTCCTCCTCGCCATTTTCTCCATCCCACTTGTATTCTTCATCTCCTTCAGAGCTACTTGAGAGCTTCCTCATTTTTCTCTTCCTCAGATATTCCTCATCATAGACAGCTTCTCCAACAATATCATCATCACTATCAAATTCGTGTTCATTGTCTGAGATAGCTTCCACATAGTCTTTTGCTGAATACCGCTGTGGCCGCTGTCGGCGTCTGTTGCTGCAAGAACATTGTTAAAACAGCTAAATCAGAGGACATATACTAATGAAAAAGTAGAAGGAAGTATTCAACGGAAGAGAAGCTATCATTACCCTCGATCCAAATTATTCAGTTTATTATTATTATGATCACTATCTATGAAATCATAATCAGATGAAAGGGGAGACATGGCACTGAAAGAGCCGCCATGATGAGCTGGCCGAATATGATGGACCTCCCAATCTGCCATTTGCAGAAGCTTCAGGTCTGAACACACCTTCTCTTCTCTGATCATGCTCAGGGGACGAAGGTTTCTTCCTATAAAAGGGATAAAGCAATTTTAGAGTCTAAGTTGGTTGTCCCATGCACAAAAAATGCAACCGGGAACACAGGGAGAAAACTCGTACTTGGTTACTTTGATGGCCTCATTTATTGATCGGTCATAGTCATCTGCAACGTCAACAAAGAATCAGAGCTGCCAATAAGTCCAAGGATCATATAAAAAAAATTATTGCTTTCATTGGTACAAACTTATCCCTTACCGAAAGTGTAAGTGACAGGCTTTCTATCACGCAGGGAGCGGCCTGCTGCTAGCCCATCCACATGCATATAGTTATCTAGGAGTAGAGCTTGTCTGTGTTGCTTCTTCAGCAACCGCTCTTTTCTCTGTCGGAACACATAGAAATGATGATCAGTTAGATGTGCACGATAGATGAGGTACTACACTAGTCCATTCCATGATGATATATCAAATAAGTACCTTCTGAACCTTCTCAATGTCAGGGAGCATGTCATTTTTCAACTTCTTCCCTAATGAAACTTCTGTTCTATTTGTACTGGTAAAAAGCTTCTCCTGCAATGATGGATAGACAGGGGCAAAATGAGGAAGCCACAAAATAAGGGGATGTAAAGAGAGTATGAAGCAAGTTGCAGCTACATTTCCTCGTCACCATTCTCAAAATATCACAAGGTCGTACACCTTTTGTATAATTGAGCTATCATTGATGGAAGTACAATTCAGACCTCTTCCTCGAATTACATAGAGAAGAGGATAATCACAAACTAATTTCACTTCTGAACATCCACACAAACCTACAAACGATGGAAAGATTACTTCAATATCTATCTCTCTAGGCTCATAATTGTAGCTAATATTTCAGGACAAGGATGATTACCAGAAGAATGGAGGACATTAATACATCTGGACTCGTCAATTCGCATAAAAAAATGAATAAAGTTGACTGGTCAACAACACAACTTCAACTTTGCATACAATAAAAGGACGTCGGCGCTTTTCAGAAATGAACACCTCCATTTTTGTCTGCATACTCAAAATTTTAAGAACTTGAAGAGGTCCTTTCAGCAGCAGGGGAGGAGTGTAGTTTCACGATTCAAAAATAAGAGAACCACCATGCCATTGAATTCAAAATAGGACATATTTGATGGGGACTATAAGTAAAGTAACTTACAGAAACATCCACAAATTCATCGAAATTTGTAGCAACAGTTTCCCACTGGTATATTGTAGAAGGAAGAACTTTGGAACCTTTTGTCTTCCCTTTTGTCAGCACTTCTGCTGTTCTTATTTCCCGGTATAACCGGTGGCCTACTAGTTCATCAGGTTCATACCTTCAACAAGAAAAGAAAAAAACTGAATCCAGAACTTGTAATGTGTTGTGCAATATTGATAAATCAGAACACTCCAGTTTCATAATTTTATAATGTTACAGTTCCATTACCAGTAATTTATCCCCTGTGAGTCACCCCCAATGCGTTCTTTTCGGAACAGTAGCAGCTGAGCACCATGCTTAATAGAGCTTTCAATATAGTTACGTATGTCTTCTTGCTGCAGAATATCACTCAAGTCAGGTATCTATCAATAACGTGATAAAAAATATGCATCCATAGACAGAAAAGAGCATTATTGTCCAGTCCCCGATAGTGAAATCATGCTAAATGTACAAGTACAGAAAACGCACAAACAACATGGGAATTCTTACCAAGGAAAATTGTTTCTCCAGAAAAAAAAAAAGTAAATTTCAAAAGGTTTCAGCTAGCAAAGCAATAACTTAGCAATGGATAATTCCAGAGTAAAGAATATTTAAATGACAAAGGAAACAAGTCCAGATCTTAAACGAATCCAATTTCTTTGTTGCAAAATACCAAAGAGGTAAAGATTTGAGTTAAGCTTTGTAAATGACCAAAAAAAATTCATCCAATAGGTGAAGATTTGTGAAAGTAGTAGAACAGATATACAAGGAAATCAAACAAAAAGGGAAGCCTTACCAGTCATATTATCCCATTCAAAATTCCATTACAGTGGATTTTCACAATATACTATAGCAAAAATCACTAGGTAATAAAGACAGAAATGACTATACAATATCCAGGCCGATCTCAAAGAAGATCAATGAATAGTTAAACTAAACAATACACATCTTGGACCACCCACCATAGATCACAAGATCAACTGTGATAGAATAAGACTTCATACCTCAACACGAATATCACATAGTGCCTTCAGGATCACCACACGAACTGCAGGCTCCAGTGTTTTATATGCTTCAACCTCCGCTCTGAGCCATTAAAAGCGAATAATTTATTATGTAATTTCAGACAAGTTGAGAAGTCAAAACACTGAGAGAAATGAACAGATATCCATTCAACTTTACTCACCCCTGTGAAGCAACTAATGGAAGATCTCCATCTGCAACCTGCAAGCAATACAACACTCATCTTAGCATTCTGCAACTAGAGGACATAAGTCAAGTGCAGAGTGTCAAAGTTCAGTTCGGAGTGAAATGCTGGACTTACCCAATGCCACCAGTCTCTTAGTTTTCTGCACAAAACTGTAACCCAAGTATCCCTAGTAAGGGCCATCCGAGTAATAGGAGGTATTGCCTGCGATAGTAAATACAGGGAATCAATATAGGAGGTTAAAGTAGCATAAAGTGTCAATCTTGGAGCAGGAGCAGTACAACCTTGTCAACTGCACACAAAACTAAATAAAAAATGGGTAGGAGAAAGATCTACGAGTAAGTTCCCCTAGTACTACAATTCGTACTACAGTAGCAAAGGTAGTCAATCATAAACAGACCATTCACAAGAATAGTTTCCATCATGCCGAAGGTCCCCAAGGACACCCATCAGGCAGCAATAATTTGCAGATTAGCTGTAAATATGGTACCAGAATGAAGGAATTCTCAAAGAACTCGTAAGATCTAGCATTTTCACAGAAAAAACTTTGCCAGACTAGATATACATGAAGCTGCATCAAACATCGCGCATTGTCACTTGCTGTCCAGAATTACCACCATAGTAATGTACATTTTTGCAGTATCTCCATCATCTTGTGAAATTGTCTGTTTTATAGAAGCTTTGGGTGAAAATGCGTTCAGAAATGTGCTCTCTGTGTCAGGAATATCATATACTTATATGTAGCATCCCAAACTTCCAGTGACCTCTTAGATAGCTCATAGCATGTGGATGCATCAGTAAAAACTTACTGCACAAGACTAGAAACATTATTTGGCTCTGGCAGAATAGAACTGGCATCATAAATCTAAACATTAATTCCCATCGCAGCTAGGGAGGGGAATCCTTTTGGAGTTTTCCTTCACCGAGAGTTATGTCTAGCTATACCTCTTCAAGCCAAAACCAGCGTCTACATACTTGCCCACATCTCTTTTTACGGGGACTTGGGGTACCTGTACAGTGTTGGATATAGGTAACCGTGTGGTATCAGAGGGCAATTGACAATAATATCCAGATATGTACCAACTGTAATTAGCATTTGGGTGATCAGAATAAAAACCCATGGTTTGATTGCAGGATTATCTAATAACTACTTTTGTTCCATCATTGTTGCAGAACCTATCTGTCAGTAGGCATCTTCGTTAAAAACAGACTTGAAATGCCAGTGAAATAGCTCAACCCTAACCATAGGTAAGCACCTTCAGCTTCTAATATCATTCCAGATTCTGCAACAGTCCACGTCCCTCGCCCAGATTGTGCCAAACCAAATAAAGCATAGCTAATCCCTCCGTTAACCAAACAGCTACAAAGATCGTTCCTTCAGCTGCAAATCGCCAAAACCTTGGGCCATACAAGAGAACTTATCCACCATCATTCGAGATAAATGAATCTAATTCATCTGAAACCTCCTATATCTAGCCAAACTCCTAAGTGACCATGTCCAAGCTCGGAACACATTCACACAATGCACTTCGGCATCCATAGCCAATTGCAACCAATATCCATAAACATAGTAACCCTCTTCGAGTATCCAAAGAGATCAAATAAATTAATTCCTCACACCTAAGTTCTAAGAAAACTCAACAGTTGAGAAACTGCAGCTGATCAATTAATCCACTACCGGAATGGATAAGATCCCAGAGAGTGAGATATCTTGTTTGCTGAAACCAAATTCAGTTAGCACAGGTGAAACATTTCCAGTCCACCATCTTGCTTAGAATACTTAACAACAAAGGAATAGACTCAAACCTTACCTAAAATACTTTTCTCCAATTGCAAACAAAAGAACAATAAGACCAAGTCATGCATCAAGTAGCTTAAGTTGAACTAGCAGGGAAGCAAAGGTAAAAAATCATACACGGAACAGAGAGCACCAACCTTTAACAATGGCATATGAATCTCTCCCAATGTGTCATTGGGTGAGAGAAGAGCAGTCTCAAACTCCTCAGCCGAGAATTCAACTTGGATGTTCAACAAGGGTCTAAAGACCTAGAATTACAAGAGGAAGACCATCCGTCACAATCACGAAATTCCACCAGGGCACAGGACAAGTGAGACCAAAAAAGGGAAGAAATTTAAGTAAGGCCACAGCAACTAAAAGCAAAAAGGAGAAGAGCATCTCACATGCAAGAAATTGAGTACTGAAGCTAACTCCCACATAGAGCGGAGGTTCCACCGGGGCAATTGAGCGGGCTCTGGAGGAGCAACCAGGGAAGTCACAACCTTACTAGCACCACTACTACATTGGTCCTTATTATGAAGCGACAACTCATCCCCACTTCCGCCGCCATCGTCCTCTTCCTCCTGGTCTTCACCCTCCTCTTCCTCCTGCCGCCGGCGGCGCTGCTGCTGCTGCTGGCGGTGGTCCTTCTTGGGCTTCGGCTTAGCCTGCTGCTGCTGCTGCTGCTGGAGCTTAGCAGCTGCGCGGAGCGTGCAAGCGCGAGAAGGTCGATTACTACGGTAGGTAGTAGGAGTAGCAGGGTCGGAAGGCTGGGGTTTAACGGCGACGGCGCCGTTGGTGTCGCCGTCGGCGGGTTTAGGGGTTTGGGAAGGAGAGATCGGGTTGGGAGGGGAGGAAGATGGTTGGTCGCGGGACATAGTTAGTTAGGGAGGAAACCAGAGAGATCGGAAGTGTAAAGATAAGCTAATGTAGGGGGGATTACATGTACAGGATCAAGGGTTTTAACTTTCAAGAAACTCAGGTTTACGCCATTGGGAGACCAAGGAAGGAAGACAAGGTTCAGAAGAAGAAAGGGGAAAGAGAAAGGAAGACCATCTCTCCGCTCATTGATTCACTCGCCCCCACTTCCTTCGTGCCCTATTTCCCTGGAAATTAAAAATCGGAATTTCGCTGCCGATTTTCCCTCTTTCTCACTGTCTGGAGGTGGAGGGAGGAGTTGTTTGATTTTTCATTTTCGGTTTTGGGATGGGAGAGGGTTTGCGCTGTTTGTTTGGGTGGAAAATAGGAGACCAGAGGCGGACGAAGGAAAGAGAGAGAGCGCGGAAGGAAGGGAGGGAAGGGAAATAGGGGGAGTGTGTATTTGTGTTTGAGGTTGGAATGGAAAGAATTGTGGGAGAAAGAAAAGGTGACTTTGGAAGAGCTTCTTTCTCTCTCTTTTTTCCCCCTTGTTGGGTCTTCTAAATGTGAACGCTTTGTTACGTGGGGCGTGAGATTTGGGGTGGGGTTGCGAAAATGTATGAGTAGTTTGATTGTACATATAGGGGTAATTACTTAACTAGTTACCGAACTATATGAAATGTGAGAGAATCGTTATTGAACTTTCTTTTGATTGTGTATTCTCTTCTCTCTCAATGTATTTTTTACATTGAGAGAGAATGGCTCTCTCATCTCTTCTAAATTCGACTCATCTTATAAGAATCCTCCTAATCCAAGCACATTAATCAGTACAAGCTTACATCCCTCTGTGAATCCTCACATCTATGAAATCTCCAAACGTGATGTTAGTCTCTGACTCTAACTACTCTCCATAATCAGTCGCTTGCATTGATAAACTTCCTTCCACATTCAAGTTGTCTTTCGGTGATTGTTTTTCGTTTTCATTCAGTTATTGATAATGATGTAATTGCATGATTTTATACCCCTATTTCTTATCCGTTTGCGGAGCATGGTTGTGTGTTTTGGCCTATTTTACGCGGGTTGTGCTACTTTGTCCTATTTCAGGTCCCAGCGTTGGAATCGAGGCGGAGAAACGAGTTCTGGGTCGAAAGGAGCAAAGTTGGGACGAATAGGGCTGAAGGAGGAAAATACCCGGTCAGGTGGCCAAATACCCGACCGGGTATTCACCACTTTTGGGCGCCCGAGAAGCAGAGAGGGGCCCGGGCACAGCAGCAAAATCCCCGGTCGGGGATTATGGCGATTGACCGGGGATTCTTCCCTTAAGCGAAACGGTGCGCTGCAGAGATACCCGGTCGAAACCCAAAATACCCGACCGGGTATTTCGACCGGGTATCGCGACCAGGCAGCTGATTTAAGGAGAAGAAGGCCAACATTGAAGGGTTCCGAGTTTTTGAGAGAGAAATCGATTCCTAGAGAGAGAAAGCGCGAACCAGAGTTCCCAAGCGCCATAGATCGATCTTCAACACCATTGGAGCCCGTCTTGAGCTTGGAGAAGTGCGATTAAACGTCCAGGAGCAGGAATCCAACTTCACAGTATGATTTCCGCGTCTGAATCTGCTTTTGCTTCTTTCTCTATGGAGTAGTTTCCCCATTCATCTGGGTATGGGAACCCTAGATTTGTATGCTAGGTCTGATTGTATGAACCCAAGTACAGAGTTTGTGAATTGATTATATTCGATTGAGGTTTGAATGATTGAATGACTTGAATCCTGATCAAATTCCTGTTGTTTCTGCTTTGACCTAGAATGAGAATATCTGCCTAGGTTGATAGAGTACCCTTAATCGAAGGTGGCGAATTGGTGACTTTAGTCGAGGAGCCAATTCGCTATTCTGTACCGAAGTTAATTCGGTAGTGGAGGTTTGGTTCATTAGGGCCTCAATCTGTTTACTCCGGTGGAGGTTAGTCGCCCGCTAGAGACTCAGATTGAGAGGGTCTGGAGACCTTTAGTCGAGACTTCAGGCTAATTGAGAACCTTCCGCAGTATAACTTTCATGAAAACTGAACTTGGTAAATTGCAATCCGACTTAACTGCAGTCTAGGGGGAACCATATCCGGGTGACCTCTCTTGACTTGACAACAAACCGTTTACTTGCTTTGTGTTTTGTTTGCTTGAGTTGCACTAAAAGTTCCGCTAAATAACAAGAATTCACCGAGTAGTCATCACATCTAGGACCCGGGTTGACATTAAAACCCGACCCGCTATACTACGCTTTAGGAAGTGGTTATACTTGGCCATTTTCTAGGGTGACAGTAGGAGTGAGTCAAGTTTTTGGCGCCGTTGCCGGGGATGGCTAGGTTGTTGAAGAAAAGTGATTTCTGTTACTTTAGCATTTTCATTTTTGCATTGAGTTTTGTCTTCCCACTTGTGCCTTCACGGGTTTGCATTGCTTGATTGTGTGCAGATAGTGCATGACCCGTAGCCAGTCGGGAGGTTTACTGCCGTTGAATCCTGAGATTGAGCGCACCTGCAAACAACTTCGGAGACAACAGCGAGCTAGACTGGCTACGGTGGAGCGCCGAGACGGCCAATTGACCAGCGACTCCGAGGACGAGCACGAGATGGAAGGCGATCAGAACCCGCCTCCTCAGAACCAGATCCTGGGGAACGACCAAATCCCCAGGGAGCTGGGAACCATCATCATCCACCACCACCGGGTCCCACCTTGGAGTACTACTATACTCCACGGATTGCTGACATCCGCCCGGTCATCCTCTATCCGCCCATTCCTGCAAACAACTTCGAGATCAAGCCATGCTGGATTCAACTCATCACATCCTCTATCCAGTTCCATGGCTTGAAGGATGAGGAAGCCCGGGTACATCTTTCCCGTTTTCTCCAGCTGACGAACGGGTTCAAGCTGAATGGTGTTCCGGATGACGCAATCCGCCTTCACCTCTTCCCCCATTCTCTGGCGGGGAATGCTAAGAGGTGGTTGGAGACCCAGCCCCCATTGTCCATCACCTCTTGGGACGATCTGGCTGACAAGTTCGTGCACCGGTATTATCCGGCATCGAAGACCACGGAGATCAGCGGGAGATCACTCACTTCCGCCAAGAGCCAGATGAGTCTTCGTGATGCATGGGAGCGGTACATGGGATACTTCTGGCAGTGTCCCCATCATGGCTTCAGCGATGCTTTCACAGTAGGGAACTTCTACAGCGCCCTCACTCCAGACAGCCAGAGGGTGATCGAGTCTCTATGCCCAGGAGGGGATATCCTTACTAAGACTCCACCCGAGCTGAACCAGATGATCAGTACCTTGGCTGCCCGAGATCATTCTGGGGCAGAACACAGAGGCAGGAATCCCGGGACCGGGGTGTGCATGCTATGGAGGCCAGGTCCGGGTTAGAGCAGCAGGTGGCTGAGTTGGTGCAGACATTGAAGCAGCCTAATAGTCTCCTTCCGCGCCGAGGTGTAGCTACGCCTCCAGTAGCTCAGTGTCAGTGGTGTGAGAGCCCGAATCACCTGGTGGAGGATTGTCAGTCTATGAGGGAGTCTTCTACTCCCCAAGAGCAGGTGGACTTCATAGCAAATGCTCGGCGCCTGGACCCATACAGCAACACCTACAATGAGGGATGGCGCCAGCATCCCAACTTTGCCTGGGAGCAGCAACACCAACAAACCACCTGGTTTCCCAGCACCAGCAGGTGGTTTCCAGCAGAGGCAGCCCTTCCAGGCTAGGCAGGGGCCACCACCACAGCAGCAGCCCTACCAGCCTAGGCAAGGGCAGCCATTCCAGCAGCCCCAGCGCCAGTTTGCTCAGCCTCCAGCAGCCGCAGCTCAGATCCTCAGATATCTGATCTGAAGAATATTTTGCAGGCTTTCATGACCACCAGTCAGGCGAACTTCACGAGGATGGATCAGAACATCGCCTCACTGGAGGCAGGCCAGAGGAACCAAGGTGCCATTCTGCAGGATCTCCAGAATCAGATTGGGAGCCTAGCTCGCCAGAACACTACCAGGGCACCGGGGACTCTGCCTGCCACCACCATCCCAATCCACGGGACCCGCATGAGACGCACACGCCATCACCACCAGGAGTGGCAAGACTACATCTGCTGCTCCTGCCCAGCCCAGGCGAGACGACCACTACCTGCTTCAACACCTCCAGCTGATACTGCAGAGGTGGGGGAAGGCAGCACAGCACCTGCTCCAAAGCCGCAACCTGTGGTTAAGGAGCATACACCCCAGCTGCCCTTCCCCACTCGACTCCATAGACAGCTGGAGACAGAGTTTGCCAAGTTCATGGCAATGTTGAAGCAGGTCAACATCAGCATGCCGTTCGTGGAGGCACTGTCGAAGATGCCCAAGTATGCCAAGTTCATGAAAGACCTCCTCACCAACAAGAAGAAACTTGGGGATCTTTCGACAGTGATGCTCAGCGAGGAGTGTTCTGCCATCCTGCAGAACAAGCTGCCAGAGAAGCGCAAAGACCCAGGGAGTTTCACTATCCCTCTTGTTATTGGCAGCATGCATGTAGGAAAGTCCTTGGCGGACCTAGGCGCTAGCATTAATGTCATGCCCTATAAACTGTTTAAGAAGCTAGACCTAGGTGAACCTAGAGCTACTAGGATGAGCATTCAGTTAGCTGATCGTTCTATCGTGCATCCTAGGGGTATCATTGAGGACTTGCTTGTTAATGTTGGTGCATTCACATATCCTGTTGATTTTGTTATTTTGGATATAAATGAGGATGTGGATGTGCCTTTGATTTTGGGTAGACCATTTCTCGCCACCGCCAAGGCGCTTATTGATGTGCATAGTGGTAAATTGATTCTGCGTGCTGGTGATGAACAGGCTACTTTTTCTGTGTCTGACAATGGGAAACATTCTCATTTGCATGATGACATAGACTACTGTGATGTGCTTGCCGATTTTGAGACCGCACTCGCCATCACGAGTGCGGGTACTGATGATGCTCTTGAGCGTTGTATTTTGCTAGGTGAGCAGGCATTGCAGGAGCCGCAGCTGGCGGAGCAGTTGGCCGCATTGGAGAGTGGCCCCTTCTTGGAGGGCGACAGGCTGTTTAAACCGATCTCATCCTCCACCCGCATCACCACTTCTTGGAGGAACCACCAGAGCTGGAGCTTAAGCCCCTCCCTCCTCATTTGGAGTATGCATTTCTCCGGGAGGGGAATAAGCTGCCAGTTATCATCAGCTCGACCCTCACACCCGAGCAGAAGACCAGACTGGTGGCCTTGCTGAAGCAGTACGAGCGAGCTTTGGCATGGAAGATCACAGATATCCGGGGGATCAGCCCCTCTTTTGCTCGCACCGGATACTGCTGGAGGATGAGATGCGGCCAGTGAGGCAGCCGCAGAGGAGATTGACGCCGAACCTGGAGGCTGTGGTTCGGGCAGAGATCGTGAAGCTGATGGACGCGGGGATCATCTTCGCCATTTCTGA